TCAGGAGAGAATGCTTTTGGAACACGGCCATACAGCCCAGAAAACTCACAACAACCCAGGGATTCCGGCCATGAAAATCTTCGACAACACATTAAAATAGTCATTGTTTGGCTTTTGGATTTTATGAACGTCTTCATAAGAAAATGCATAAGGATTTGGGCAAAGTACAATTCCCATCATCCTCTATCCTTGCAGCAGTTGATTCTATAACATATTAGTAATAGTCATTGTTTGTTTGTGATCATTACAAAAGACTTAATGCATCCAGAGATCACTGTGAATTCCACGAAGGATGGATCCGGAGCAAACTTGGCATGCATCCGTATTGTGACCACCGTTAATGACTGGTGCAGATTGGAGGCCATGACAGATAATGAAGGGAGTTGTAGTTGACCACTGTCCTTATGCATTTTCAAACAGAACCACTCATAGAATCTGAAAACACCTGATCATGACTTCTAATACTCATAATTATAAATGACCGATATCTAATCCATGCATTGCCAGGAACCTAAACTATATCTATACCTACAATAAAACTGTATGTATGTATGTGGACGATTTCCTATTGGCTCCTACTTCCAGAAAGCACTGTGAAAGCACTCCCACTGATAACAGATCTGGACCAAAGTTACGAGGGTTGAATGAAAAGCAATGCCTCCACCTTCGTAACTCCTCAACAGATGGTAGTACTGGTATGCGGCAGGTACTGGCTTGTTCAGTAGACTCTCCTCTACAGTTCCATTTCAGCAGGAAGCCTTAGCATTGAATGGTTGTGTTGTTAAAGTGCAAAGCATGGAACCCTGCGCAGACGGTCAGCCAGTGCAACTTAAGCAACGTATGTGGCAGTTGCTGGCTTGTTCAGTAGACTCTCCTCTACAGTTCCATTTTGGCGGGAAGCCTTAGCATTGAATGGTTGTGTTGTTAAAGTGCAAAGTATGGAACCCTGCACAGACGGTCAGCCAATATGACAAGCAATGTATGTGGCAATTACTGGTTTGTTCAGTAGACTCTCCTCTACCGTTCCGTTTTGGTGGGAAGCCTTAGCATTGAATGGTTGTGTTGTTAAAGTGTGAAGTTTGGAGCCCTGCGCAGACAGTCGGTCAATGCGACTTAAGCAACGTGCAGTCATTGAATTCTTGACAGCAGAAGGTGTCACCCCAAAGGAGATTCATCAGAGAATGCAAGCTTTTCATGGTGATTGTGTTGATGTGAGTACTGTGTGTCATTGGGCGAGTAAGTTTAAAGATGTTGAGGTGGGAACATCTGACTTGTGTGACAAACAAAGAGTTGGGCGTCCTGTGACAACTAGTTTCACAAGCCAAAGGTTGACAGACGGATTCAGGACAATCGTCATATCACTAAGAGAGAAATTTCAAGCATAATCGACATTTCACAAGAATGTGTGGGTCACATTATTGCTTTGCTTGGCTATCAGAAGATCTGTGCACGATGGGTACCCAGGATGAGAGCTGTGAGATGCTGGTTGCAGAAACAGAGTGTCGACTTCTTCCATGACGGCTTCAGAAAACTTGTTCATCTTTGGCAGAAATGTATCCAATTGTCTGGTGATTATGTGGAAAAGTGAATAGTGGTAGTTAAAGAGCACATTCTAAGGATTATTTCTGTGTTTGATTTATTAAAATATTCCCATCCAAACCCAAGTAATGAAGGTGGAGGCATTACTTTTCATTCAACCCTCGTATTGGCCCAGGGCACTTTAAATACAGCTGGGGTTTTGGAGGGCAACGACAGAGGATGATGGGAGTTGCGGGTTACCCAAGTCCTTATGCATTTTCTAATGGGGATATTCACAGTATCCAAAACCAACCAATATCTATTTTTCTAATAAATAGCATTTACAAAAACATCTAACCCAGGCATCGCTGGATACCTGACCTTGTGTGTGTGTGTGTGTGTGTGTACATACATACATATACAGGCAGTCCCCAAGTCACAAAGCAAATCCAGTCCTGGAAGAGTTATTACGATGGAGGAGAAAGTCCCTCCACTGAAACTTTATCTCCACTCCTTGTTTCCACAACAAGCCACATTTTCCAAAATCCAATTATCGCAGGGACAGAAAAGGAGGTGAAAGCTTCTGAACTGACAGCAAAACAAACACCACAGGAGGGTTAACCCTTCCCTATGCAATCCAAAGTTAAACACACACACACACAAATATATATACTTTGGCTGGAGTTACACTTCAAAAATGTGCCTGTTGGGACTTGCAAACAAATTTGATGTAAGAGCATACCTACAGAATGATCTTGCTCATAATTTGGGGATGGCCTCTGTGTGTGTGTATATAATTTTATATATATATACACACACACGTATGCACGCACGCACATATATATGCCTATTTTCTTTTACCAGAAGGAAGGAATAATATTCCCGTGTTCTGACCTTCTCTCCCCGTTGATGTCTTGCAAGAGCGGTGTCTTCTCCTGCTCTGCCCCAAAGAGAAGAGGATCCGGATTGGGGCCCAAATGCCATTTTGCTCTCTGTATGGAAGGAAGGAAGGAAGGAAGGAAGGAAGGAAGGAAGGAAGGAAGGAAGGAAGGAAGGGAGGGAGGGAGGGAAGAAAGAAGAAAGGAAGGAAAGAAGAAGGAAGAAAAGGAAAGAAGGAGAAAAAGGAAGGAAGGGAGGGAGGGAGGGAGGGAGGGAGGAGGAAAAGAGAAAGGAAAGGAAGGAAAAAAGGAAGGAAGGAAGGAAGGAAGGAAAGAAAAGAAAGAAAGAAAGAAGAAGAAAAAAGAAAGGAAAGAGGAAGAAAAGAAAGGAAGGAAAGGAGAAAGGAAGGAGGAAGAAAAGAAAGAAAAGAAGAAAGGAAAGCAAGGAAGTAAGGAAGTTAAGAATGAAAGAAGACAGAAAAAGAAAGGAAAGAAAAAAAGGAAGGAGGAAGAAAAGAAAGAAAGGATGGAAAGAAGACAGGAAGAAGGAAGGAAGGAAAGAAGGAAGGGAAAAAAGGAAAGAAGAAAAAAGAAGAAAGGAAGAAAGAATACCAATAATACTGAAGGAATTAAGGAAGGAAGGAAGGAAGGAAGGAAGGAAGGAAGGAAGGAAGGAAGGAAGGAAAGATACATTAAAGGGAGGCCTTTGGAGGGGAGAGAAAAGAACGAGGGATGCAGGTGAGATAGGATTGGGAACTGCCACATAAATGCATAACAATACCTGCAGAAAACCAACCTGTGCTTTGAACAATTATATCAAAGCTTACGGGTGTATTGTCGTATCGTCTGAGACATGATGGGCTTTCTGTGGCTGAGAGAGTGTGACTCTCCCAAGGTCTCCCAATGGGTTATTAAGGCAAATAAAGACCTTTCTAATCAGGAGTTTTCTGGAGTTTTCTAGCAGAGATCTGCCTTTTCAGAGGAGCTTTGCCTTGGCTTTCCTCTGAGGCTGAGAAAGTGTGCTGAGGTCCCTATCTCATTAATAGAATTACTAAATAGCAATTAAAAGGATAGATTCTGGCAGCTAAGGCATTCATTTTGCCAATCCCTTCCTCCAAAACAGAGCCTCCTGCACCTGGTCGGTCTCCCATCCAAGTGCTAACCAGGGCTGGCCCTGCTTAGCTTTCAATATTTGCAGCATTGAAAGAGAATAGGCTTCCCATCATTAAAAACAAGGCAGCTGGATATGACGGGGGGCTTTGGGCAAACACCCCAAAGGAAGCTAAGCAGGGTCCGCCTTGGTTGGTCCGTGGATGGGAGGCTGCCAATGAAGACCAACAGGTTTCAGGCTCTGTTTCAAGGGGAGGGTCTGGCAAACCCTCCTCTTGCATGCCACCAGTGCCTTTGTAAGGATTCTTAATGCCCCCCCCCCCCCAATTGAGATCCATTTTCACCTCTCAAGGATTACATTTCCCACCTTTTTATTTGGGTTGGTGGTCTTTGGCCAGTAAGTTGGATTGGACTGATGACAAAGGCCTTTCCAATAAAAATGACCTCCAAAGCTCCCTGTTAGCAGCAGAAAAAGGACACTGATATGATGATGATGATGATGATGATGATATTGTATGCTTACTATTACTGCATTGCAAAGAGGGATAGCATCATCATCACTCAGTTCTCTTTGCAAAGCAGTAATGGTATGCATACAATATCATCATCACTATCATCATCATCATCATCATCGCCCAGTTCTCTTTGCAAAGATTAATAGTATGCATAAAATATAGTAACAACAACAACCCAGTTCTCTTTGCAAAAAGGTAATAATGTGCATTCCATATAATTATAAAAATAATAGCCCAGTATTCTTTGCAAAGCTGTAGTAGTGTGCATACTATATAATAATAATAATAATAATAATAATAATAATAACAACAACAATCCATCTCTCTTTGCAGTAATAGTGTGTGTATACAATATAATAACAGCAACAACAACCTCGTTCTCTTTGCAAAATAATAATAATAATAATAATAATAATAACCCAGTTCCCTTTGCAAAGCTGTAGTGGTGTGCATACAAAATGTAATAATAATAACCCAGTTCTCTTTGCAAAGCATTAATAGTGTGTATATTATATAATAATAATAACTATAATAATAACCCACTTTTCTTTGCGAAACATTAATAGTGAACATACTATATAAAAATAACAATAGTAATAATAATAGCATCCCACCTCTTTTTGCAAAGCAGTAATAATGTGCATACAATAGTAACAGTAATAATAATAATAAGCCACTTCTGCATAGAATATAAGTATAATACAGGGTTAGTCAAAATGAATAGGCCAATAATGAATAATGAATATTGGCCTATTCATTTTGACTAACCCTGTATAATAATAATAATAATAATAATAGCAACCCAGTTCTCTTTCAAAGCATTAATAGCGTGCATACTATATAACAATAGTAATAACAATATCCCACCTCTCTTTGCAAAGCATTAATAGTGTGCATACAATATAATAGTAATAATAAACTTCTATTTGCAAACAATATAATAATATAATAATATATTACAATATAATAATATAATAATAACTCAATTCTCTTTACGAAACATTAATAGTGTGCATACAATATAATAATAACAATAATAACCCAGTTCTCTTTGCAAAACATTAACAGTGTGCATACTATATAACAACAACAATAGTAATAATAATAATATCACACCTCTCTTTGCAAAGCAGTAACAATGTGCATACAATATAATAATAGCAATAATAATAACCTCTTTGCAAAGCAGTAATAATGTACATACAATATAATAATAGTAATAATAACAACCCACTGCTCTTTGCAAAGCAATAACAATGTACATACTATATAATAATAACAATAGTAATAATATCCCACCTCTCTCTGCAAAGCAGTAATAATGTGCATACAATATAACAACAACAACCCACTTTGTTTGCAAAGCTGTAAAGTATGCATACAATAATAATAATAATAATAACAACCATAGGAATGGAAAAACGGACATGATATTGAATTGGTGGCTTGACGATGAGACGATTCGGAATGTAGTAGTAATTTTGTAGTAATGTTGTTGTTTTGATAAGATGTTTTTTATGATTATGATGAATTGTAGACTGTTTTGCACTATGCTTTGTAGATTGCACTTGTTTTTTCATGTTGTACACCGCAATGAGTCGCCCTTGGGCTGAGAATTGCGGTATATAAGCGCAGTAAATAAATAAATAAATAAATAAATAAATAAACAACAACAATATAACAACAACAGCCCATTTTGTTTGCAAAGCTGTAAAATATGCATACAACAACAACAACAACCCACTTTATTTGCAAAGCTGTTTAGTGTGCATACAATAATAATAACAACAACAACAACAACAACCCACTTCTCTTTGCGAAGCAGTAATAATGTGCATACAATATAATAGTAATAATAATAGCCCACTTCTTTTCAAAGCAGTAATAGTGTGCCAATAATAATAATAATAATAGCCCAGTTCTCTTTGCAAAGCAGTAATAGTGTGCATACAACATAATAACAATAACAATAGTATGCATACACAATAATAATAATAATAATAATAATAATAATAATAATAATAATAATAATCCTGCCTTACCTGGCTCTCCTTATGGCTCCGGAAGGGTGCAACACTGTCAAAATACAAAACACCAGACCATTAAAAGGCAAACATGAAAGCAGAGGGAACCCTTGGTACCCACAGGATGCAACTTGAGATGCCCAAGTGCCCACGGAGGGAGTGGGCCAGGCCGGGGCCGAGAGCAGGAGATCCAGCTTCAGCTCTTCATTGTCTTTGCATGCAGACAGCCCTGGAGTTGCAAACAGCAGACTCGCAGCCTAGTTCCATACAGGAAGGGAGAGGAAATCTATTCTTCGGAAGAGAAATCCACTCTGGGAAGAGTTATCAATCCTGGGGAAAAGGTGTCTCCACTGGAGCTTTCTCACCAGCCCTTGTTTCCATGGCGACCCAACAGTTCCAAAAATCCAATTATCACCGGGACAGAAAGTGAGGTGAACTCTTCTGAACAGAAGCAGAGGCAGCAAAGGAAGCGCCACATCCAGCGGTCTTAACCCTTCCTGATCCAGAGAACCACGGACAGGCCGACATTCGACTTACAAACGACTCCGAGTTAAGAACGAGGCCGAGACCACAGGAAGAGAGAGAAATCGACTCCTCGGAAAAAAAGGAGAGTTATTATCCTGGGGGAAAAGGGGTCTCCGCTGAAGCTTTATCACCAATCCTTGTTTCCACAACAAGCCACATTTCTCAAAATCCAATTATCGCCGGGACAGAAAGTGTACAGCAAAGCAAACACCATAGAAGTGTTAACCCTTCCCTATGTCTCCAAAGCTTATAGATTTGGCCGGAGTTACTCTTAAAATATATACATGTTCTGACCTACATACAAATGCAACGAACTGTTGTCGAATCATGATGCCTTTCCCCTCCGAAAGATAAATGTCTTGTTAGTATATATTTTATTATTATCGTTTTCCAATGCTTTTCCAAACTTTTGCTATTTTGAAACATCGGAGGTTGGGAGTGGACCGGTGGTGGCAGCGTCTACATACAAATTCCAATTGTTGTCAAATCACAATACCTTTCCCCTCCGAAAGATAAATGTCTTGTTAGTATATGTTTTTTTATTATCGTTTTCCAATGCTTTTTCAAACTTTTGCTGTTTTGAAACATCGGGGGTTGGGAGTGGAGTGGTGGTGGCAGCGTCTACATACAAATTCCACGAACTGTTGTCGAATCACGATACATACCTTTCCCCTCCGAAAGATAAATGTCTTGTTAGTATATTGTTTTTTAGTATCGTTTTCCACTTCCAAAAATAGATATATTGTTAGTATATGGTTTTTTATTATCGTTTTCCAATGCTTTTTCAAACTTTCGCTATTTTGAAACATCGGAGGTCGGGAGTGGCCCGGTGGTGGCAGCGTCTTCCCCACGTTTATTTTATTTATCGTGTCAGGAGCGAACCAAACCCTTGTATTGCATTAACAAAACAAAACAAACAAAACACAAAGTTTGCAAACTTGGCATTCTATTAAATGTCGTTTTGAGATCGGAGGTAACACCCTCC